AAATGGTCCATAATCCTCAAAGTGATATCACCTGACAAGGCCAGAAGAGGGCTGGCAATCTCTAAATCTCTTCCTAGGTTCTAACCTGACTAATAAGATATTCCAAGCCAGTGTGCATCAAATTTGTTGTTGCTGTTTCGTTGGAATCAAAATAATTAGGACCATAGTAGGAAATAATAGTCGACAGATTCATAGATATTTAGAAAAGTATCCATATGCTTACTGAAGCTAATAAAAATAAAAGAAAGTCCTTCTTGGGATGGAACACTATATGTCAGCTGTCGTGTGTTTTTGCTACTTCACGAAATAAAGTAGCAAAAGGAGATGGTTGAGGAGCATAACGACCCGGATAGATAGACTGAAAAAACGGTTCTACCCCCAAGCCATCAGGAGATCAGACTGTTAAGCTAACTAACCATCTGCCATTTACTCTAATCTGCAACTTAGAGCCGTTTTGAACACACACACACACACACATACACACACACCCCAGCTCGTTCATCCACATACTCAATTAGACAAACTCTCCAGGGACACACAGACTCTCTCACTCACACTCTTAAACGCACACACACCCACACCCAAACCAAAGCAACCAAACATATTCCATGAAGCCCTTTTTACATTGTTAGTTATGCATATACAGATACCCAGGCTTGAAACCCCAAAGAGCAAGCAGCAACAAGAAAAAACACCCATGCTGTGTCCAAAGAATGCCAACTAGAGTAATTGTAGCTAGGAGATGTTCTTCCCCGAGTTTGTGCTAGTCCTCTCAGCGCAATGGTGGGTACCCCAAGCGATACAAAATCATATACTATGACACAGTTAAAACAAGGCACATTCTGACACATTGAGTACATGCTTCTGTGCCAAGTTCACTGTGAAAACCGGTCATATCATTCATTTGTCATTCAGAAGTTTACATACACTTAGGTTGAAATCATTAAAACTCCTATTTCAACCACTCCACAGAGTGTTGTCAAACTGTTTACAAACTGTTGTTTTGCCATGTATACAAGGATATCTGTTTTGTATCATGGCACACGTTTTTTCCCAACCATTGTATTCTAACATATTATTTCACATGAAGCCAGGTGCCACACCTGTCAGCAAATAACTGGAAACTCAGGGTACAATTTGCATGGACCCACACAAACTTGGACAATATAAAATTGGAAATACGTTGCCTTGTCTGACAAGTTGTGATTTCTGCTGCGACATTCAGACGATAGGGTCAGAACTTGGCGTAAACATGTCAAAAAGCTCACATGAACAGAAAATATCCTCCTCAGTCACATCACATCTCTAAGCAATAGAGCACCTTTGGGATGTGGAGGAACGGGACATTTGCATCATGGATGTGCAGCTGGTATAACCTGCCAATGAATGTATGTCACAAAGAATTACGGTTGATTTTAAAGGCAAAGGGGATAGAAGCAAGGTGTACCTAATAAAGTGGCCAGTGACTGTAAACATAGAAATATATAGAAATGCAATACGAGTCTGTTTCGACACACCTACTCATTCAAGGGTATTTCTTTATTAACACATTGCAGAATATAAATAATGACATCATAACTATTAAATAACATATATAGAATAACACAAGACATTTTAACCCAAAAATGTAAACAGAACAAAATACATTTCATATAGTAGATTCTTCAAAGTAGCCACATTTTGCATTGGTTGTAATGTTCTGTCGTGTCCTATGCCCATTCGTTCCACCTGTGTCCTGTCATGTGTCCTGTTTAGTTCCCTATTTCAGACAGTTGTGTTTGTGCACCAGGTGTGGGACTCCCACAGTGGGAGCATTGTTACAGGTAGGTTATTTTGTTGTGTCTTATGTTGGTCGTTCTGTTCTCATTATCATGGGCCTTGTGCCTGGTTGTTTTCTGCCCCTTGTTTCTAGTTTTGTGTAGTAAGTGTTGGGTTTTGTAATTTGTTACAGTTGTTTTAAGTTTGTTTCCTGCCTATAATCCATCCTGGCTGCCTGCTTGTGTTCCAATCATTGTATTCTGTCTGCCTGCATCATGAACAAAAATAAAACCTTACATATTGGAAATATGTGCTTGGGTCTCTGCCTCTACGCCAAAACATGATATTGCGTGCATCCCATTGGGTCTTTTGAGTCAAAATGTGCGATCTTTGGTTCCAATCTCTATGTCTCTGGGAGACACAAAGTGGGTGAATACATTATATTCAGATGTGTGGTTTCCAATGTGAAGCATGGAGGAAAAGGTTTGATGGTCTGGGGGTGCTTTGCTGTTTACACTCAATAAGATTAGTTTAGAATTCAAGCATTCTGCAATCGGCATCCGATTGGATTTGCTATTAATAGGAATATATATTTTTTCAATACGACATTGACCCAAAACTTGACCCCAGTCTAAGGACGTATTGGCGAAGGAGAGTGATGGTGCTGCATCAGATGACCTGGCCTCCACAACCAATTTGAGATGATCCGGAATGAGTCGGACTGCAGAGTTAAAAAGGCAGTCAATAATTGCTCTACAAATTTGGAGGAACCCCATTAAGACTGTTGGCAAAGTATTCGAGTTGACTAGCTCACGATGCTGGTTGAGGGAATTCAAATGCAAACATGATTCATGTCATTTTATTGTTCTTTTGTATTTTTTTGTTTGTTTTCTGAAACACTATACGTGCCTCTGATACAATACACCATTTATAGAGGTAATTTACATACAGAATTGGAAATTCATTTTGATTGGTTGCATTGGTTTACATTTTTATATTTTTCTTCTATCTAGTCTGAGGGGCAATAATGACCTGATGAACATGCTTGCGGCGACGAAACATTGTCACTTTGTGCAGTTAAAAAGATAAACGTGTTGAAGCATTACCAGATATGTGAACTCTCTTATTATCATTATTCACTTGGTTCCACACATGATGAGTTGGATGTGCATGTTTTTGTCTCTCTATTGCTGCCTCAAGAACCATTAATTCTGCCCTCTATCAGAAAATTCAGAAGGACAAGGTCCAGTCATCAGTTCGTGATCTGAAGCTAATTGGGTCCAACTCAAAATGTCTTAAAAGAAACAAAATGACGGTTTGAGAGTGGCCTACAAATTATCCTGACTGGAAACCCATTGAGATGCTGGTGCAGGACCTTAATAGAGCAGCTTGTGCTCGAAAACTCTTCAATGTTGCTAAATTACAGGAATTCTGCAAATGACAGTGTGCCAAGATTTCTTCACAGTGATGTGAATGACTGATCTCTAATTAAAGGAAGCATTTGTTTGCGGTTTTTGCTGCTTCAGGCGGCACGGGCGGTTATTAAGTGCAAGCGGGCAATCTTTTTGATTGCCCGCTTGCACTTTTTGACACAGGGCCAATTGGTGTTAGATAGCTGTTTCGGTTAAATAAATATAATTTACATATTAAGATTCATGTGTTGTGTTACTCATGTTATATTACATTTCGTCTGACGTTCTGACACCATTCAGGTTGACATATACGCAACAGAAGAGGAAATCAGGACGGGGACAATAACTTACAATTAGTGAATGTTTGTAAAACCTAAAGGGATGGTAATTATTTTGATATGAAAATATAAAATAAACGTATCTAAACCCCACTTCATAATTAAGACATTTCAAATAAAGGACACAAAAACATTTATTTTGAGAGAGCATTAATGTGTGCAGTCATTCAGTAGATTGTGACACCTCCATTTGCAGTGATAAGGTCTCCTACAGCTGATAATGCTACTCTGTAATGTTATTGAAGGATTTCTGTACAGTCCCACATACAGAACTCAGCCAATAGTTTGTGGTTTAAGGGGAGTGGGCGAGATCTGGCCACTTCAGGTCCTAACACAACATTTCATAGGCTGATAGTCAGGACTCTATATTGGACAATACAAAACACAAATTATCTTTCTTATGAACCATTTTTGGTAGATTTGCCTGAACGCTTCTGGTTGTTGTCTTGTTGAAAGATCTTCTCCTGAAATAACTCAGAATTGGTACCCTTATTGAAATGCACTCGACCACGTCTATAAGAGTAAAAGCAGCTCCATATTTTGACATTCCCACCACCGTTCCCACTACCAGAATGTTGGGGAGGTTCTTTTGATGATAGGCAGTGTTTATGCAGGAACATTTGTGACTTATCTGTCCAGAAAATGGACTTCCAGAAACCTTCAGGGTTGTCCAAGAACTCTCTGGCAAAATTTAGAATGGCATTTTGGTTATGTTTTAACAGCAGATTCTTTTAAGAAGCCAGCCAATCCAATGCCTTGAGGCTTGCTTCAAAATTTCAAACCAGTCTGCTCAAAACAAATAGGCTGCATTTGAGCAAAAAATATCTCATGATTGACGTTGTGAAGCTGCGAACCTCATCTGCAACTATCTGATAGGGTTTTGACAGACATGGGACTTTCCAACCATGCTTTAATACATATGGAACTAAAGCATAATTATCTGGTATTGAACTAATGAAATTCACAAATTAACTGGTGAATGATAAGGGCCTTTCAAAATGCAAATAGCCAAGTTCAAGCATGAGCACAAAGACTATAAAGTAGCAGTGTTTATGAACAACAATCTCCTACCGATGTGTGTGTGACTGTTTGATGGATCACACTACTTCTACGTTTGCTTTAGTTCTTCATATTACTTTTGTCAATTCTAATAGAATAATGTGTTAATTTCCTACTGTACATCTGTCTACTAGTTTATACAGCACATACATCGGAAGGTGATCGGGGCGTAGTTAGAGGATAACTGGAAAGCAAACAGGAAGTCTTTCAATGTCTTTGAATTCTGATGTTCTGAGTGAAAACATCATACAAATTGTTGAAACGTTTGTTGTTGTCTTTGTTTTTGAACGGACGTTTTAGAAGTCTGGGACTGTGTTGATTTGAAGCATACTGTGGTTAGGATGAGTGTGCAGTCACCACAACCACTGATAAGGTGGAGTTGGTAGCTCAGTGGTAGAGTGCTTGCTTTATGATGTCCTGGGTTCCTATTGGAGGAGTTGGTAGCTCAGTGGTAGAGTGCATGCTTTGTATGTATGTATAATGTTCTGTGTTCAATCCCCAGCTTCTCCCCAGGTCGCCGTTGCAAATGAGAAATTGTTCTGGCCCGGTTAAATATAGGATGAAAACGAAGAAAAAAACAACACCAGATATATCAAACCCGTTTCAAGGAGTTGAAATGCCAAGTTTCAGAATCTGGGTAAAATAGTTGCCAACAGGCGCGGGCGCAGATGGCCAACCAAGTGGTTGAAGCCTGTTTTGCAAATCTTAAGGCTATAGAAACACTATCATCATTACACTGTCGACAGACATTCCCAATCAAACCGGTATACATTTAAATTCTATTTTTAAACGAGAGCACTCACCTTTCGGAAATGTGAGAGGTTGCCATTATAATATTCTCCGTCTCGAATGTTCTTCGTAAGACAGACATGGCTGCTATTAAAACGTACTGCAACACAATGATGCTGATAATGGTGCGATGATCCCTGTTTGTCTCAGTATTGTCTTTGCTCTCCAGGGAGAAGGGAACGATTAGCGAGGCTTTTAGATTAGCTTGATTTATCAGAGAAAACCTTGAGGTGTCTGGTGTCTCTGACTCCACCGGTAATCCTGCTATAATGCCTTTTCCTATCGGTCTTCATCTGAAATCCATTCAGGGCGGGGACAGCCAAAGCAACTCAATCAAGATCATGACAGAGGCTTCCGAAGTGATCATTTCTGACGGGTTTTTGTACTCCTCACCAAACCGTCTTTGGATATCAGTGAAAACTATCGGTTTAAACAAAAACGGCTTTTTGACATAAACCATTTCACTTCTGGGCCTAATGGCTTTTTTGTTAATAATTGAAAACAAAGACTGCTATAGATCACAGTAGGCACGGGATAATGAATGACTGCAGGTGTTCATATTTTTGTCATTAATAGCTGCATAATTGGACAAATTAGTGTGCTCACTGATGAAAGATGAGGGGACACATCTGAAGCAAGCCCATGTCTCTCAGGAAGGGACCATTCTGAACCTGACAAATGAACAACAACACAGATATGCTTATGCAATGTCCTCCTTGTTCACTAGTTTGGTTGTGCGGCTGGTTATATTGGACTAACTCTTCTCATACTTGGCCTCACCGATAGTATCTTGGAAAATTGTGCGCCGTGAGAGAATCTGTGACTTTCACAGATTCAATTATGTAAATAAACAATTTTATTGTAGTGTATTTGATGTCATAGCAATTTCTGCTGCACTGATTTTCAACCTGTTGTCTTTTCTTTCTCTCCAGGTTCCATTGGACTTCGGAGTAAACAGTCACAGCCATGGACAGTCTACTAGACCTCTGAGTCTGTCCTTCCGCCTCTTCCTTTATCCCACACCTCCTCTACACCCCCGCCCTAAAACACCCTGACAATCCCAGCTGGATCGATATTGACAACAAGATTATTAAGTTCCAACTAAACCTTTCATCTTGTTATTTGGTAACCATGACGACTCCTCTCCTCCTTTCCTACTGTTTACCTGGGTACCTGGTGAGTTCTCAAGTCCCTATGCCATCGTCGTTGCTGCTACTATTGCTGCTACAACTGTACAGCCAATGCCTGGCTGCTCCTTCAGGGCCTGAGTCCGACACCTGCTCCACTCTGGTCCAGAGCCGATTCTTTGGCCATTTTCTGTCCACCTCCACCTTTCCTACAACACCCTGCTCCTGGACACTGCAGAATCCCGACCCCCGCAGATATACCATCTTCATCAAGGTCACCAAACCTACCTCTACGTCAGACTGCGTTCCCAGGGAGTTTCGCACCTTCCAATTCGACTCATTCCTGGAGACCACACGTACCTACTTAGGCATGGAGAGCTTTGATGAGGTGGTCAAGCTTTGTGATCCCTTGTCCCCCGTGGCATTTCTAGAAGCCGGAAAACAGTTCCTACAAATGAGGAAGGGTTCAACCCGGAACAGTGTGGCAGTCACTGACCTCGGCTCTGGTGAGGATGGAGATTTTAAGACAGAGTACCTGGTGGTGGGCAAGCGTAACCCAAGTATGGCGGCGTGTCAGATGCTGTGCCAGTGGCTGGAGGACTGCCTGGCATCCAGCAGCTCAATCAGGCCCTGTGGCATCATGCAGACCCCCTGCAAGTGCTGGGAAGCCTCTCCTCCACAGCTCACTCAGGGGGACGGATGCTATAGGAATGGGGTCTATCTGGAAAACTGCCTTCCCAGTGCCAAAAAGAAAACGGATGCTGACAACAATGGTAAGTGGAATTTCTCGTTTTTTCTCGTTATGGGCATTTCTGGAAATGCGTTGGTGCCATTTTGCCCCTTAAAGACATGTGCCTCACCTGTCATCTTGTCAGTATAGCATACCACTTGAGGGTAACTGGAAGATATACATAGTCCAGGTCAACCTGTAAATATCCATTGAGTCACTCGCCTAGTGCTTTACGTCAAAGAATATAAAATAAAAACCTTTCAAACCGAAAAACTAGCAGTTGGCAAAACAACATGCATTTTTTTGGGGGAACCATCACTTTTGACTCCAAATGAGTCAGCATTTTGGTCCAAATTACTCAATGACCTAGATGGGCCATAAAGAATCAAAGGATGAGGGAGTGGAAAAGAAAGCTGAGAGACAAATGTGATGGTTTCGGGTTTCCGCTGGTGGGTTCTGAGCTGTATGACCTTGGAGGGCTGGCGCCGTGTCTGTGTTTAGGGAGAGGGACACTCGATCGGCCTGAGGGAGGCTGAGACATTGTAAGAAGATCTGGGTGATGTATGCTTGGAGTTGAGGGGTGGGTATTCTATTTCTCTGACTGGAATGTGAAGACTGCAGCAAGCTGAAAATACAATATACATGATATAAATAAGATCAATTATATTATGTAAACAGTTTTCCATAAAACGCTATAAAAAGTGAAAACATTTGACATGGTACACAAACAAGTAAGGCGAGTGATCTTCATAAACTTAGCAAATCTTGCTCCCTAGCAAACTGACTATTCATTTAGGTAATGAAAAGAATGTTCCTGAAAGAGGAATTCCATATGGATGTATTAATTAAATGCTTTCATAATCATTTACATGTGGGGTTTTGTCATTGGCTGTAAACAAACAGTTCTGTACCATAATAGCCTAGACTTTTCTTTTAGACCCTATAGGTCTGTATTGCGTTTAAGATTTTCAAAGTACATTTTTTTTGAATACGTTGTATGTTTTTTGGCCAAATTGGCTGTCAACATCCATGCTTGAAATGACCATTTCATTTTTACAAATCTCTTACATCTCCCTAAACATTCTTTGATAGTGTGGAGCAATGCAAATGAGCAAGTTCTACGTGATCCCATGTCAAATGTTATAGGGCTTCATGTTATTTGTGGACGTGTATATGTACATTTAATACAATTTATTGTCGTTAGAATGCTGTTAGTTCCAGAACAGGCTACAACACTAATTCATTTTGTTGATGTTGTCTAAATGTCTAAAGGGGGCAAAAAAGACAGCTAAAAGTAGGGCTATTATTGTATGCCACTCCGTAACTGTGCTGTAGGGTACTGCTGGCTCTTTAAGGCCAAGGCATGCGTTGTCATTTTCCTTGCTGACTTTATTGAAAAAAAACCCGTAAGGATGAGGGACAGTAGAACGCAACAAGCTGAGATATGATCTGACAACCCAATCTCAGAAAACAACAGTTGTTATCAGCTATGGAACGTTGTTCGAGTTTGTGCATCATAAGTACATGTTAAATAGCAGTATATAGTTAGAGCCAAGACATTGTCTGTTTAGCTAAGACAGCTGAGAAAGCTACATGAAAAAGGCAACATCTGTTTCAGTTACATAACTAGCAAGGTGTTAGCATTTAAATGAAACGAATTTGTAAGAACATTTTCAATCCTGGTCACGTTTGGACCGTTCAACTAATGCACAAACATGAGGCTAACTGCTAAAACAATGCTGGTTAGCTTTGGGACAACAGCTATATTATGCTAGGAAAAATAATTACCCTAAAACGAAGAGCAAAACAACCCATGTCACCTCAAAATAGTGTCTCATTCCCGTCTCTCTTTCAGACATTCTTTTGTTTGCCATCAGTTTGGATGTGTGTCCTCCCATACAATCGCTTCTCCATCCATCCATCCATCATCTTTCTCTTGTGCTTTCGCCATCACTCCCTTTTTATCAGCCCTCTGGTCTCTTCTTCTCAGAGCACCCATCGCCTTCTCCTTCACAAATCTCCCCTCCCAATATCCATCCATCCTTACTCTCCCTTTTGTATCCCTAACTCATATGACCCTCTGGTCATTCCTCCACCACCACCACCATTCTTCTTCTCATTCCTCCACCCTACCCTTTAGCCTTTAGGCCCATTCCAGTTTGATGGAGGAGACTCATAGTCTATGGTACATAGTCTAGAAGCCAGCCAAGCAGAGCTTATGTTGTGGGTAGTATCACATGGCGTCTTCTCCCCTGTCTCCTCTCACTGCGGCTAATGTTCCCTGTCGCCATGGCTTCCTTTTCTCCTCTCCTCCCTGTCTTCTTTCTTCCCTTCCCCTCTCCTCTCTTCGCTTCACACTAGGCTAGTTATCATTCTTATGTAATACAGCTTACGGTTTCTAACAGCAGGGTGTGGGCTGTGCTGTTGGTGCCTGGAGGTGCATAAAAACACAGACTTGGCTGGTCATATATAGAAAGAGGTGTATTTTTCACATTATTATTATCTTCTCGTTCTCACACAAACACCCACTCTCTCTTCTCCTGTTTTTCTCTAACACTTTCTCTTTTTCTGTCAGAATAGCTAACTTCAATAATATTTTTACATCGATCGGAGTGAGTGACATAAGGACCCCAGCTGAGGATGAAGGGGACACTGGATGGACGGAAACATGTATAGATATATTGACGGATTAACGCAAGTCATTTGATGATTAACAGAGATAACAGATTCTGTGTGGGAACAGGCTGGGAGAAATACTGACGTCCCGTGTTATGGAAAAGAGGAAGTATAAACATAGAGGAGATTGGCCGAGAAGAGACTAGCAGAAATGTGAAATGACAGTTGAAGAATGTGTCGTAACTGGT